CTATTTTGAAAATGCTGGTCTGGAGACCCATCGGTCAATTCTAGAGTCTTATCCCATCCCGCAAAAGAGGTCAAGGGTCTGCAGAGGGAACAGTGAGCGCAGAGAGGTCTGGAAAAGGGGGGCAGCAAGAAAATATGGATCCTGGGAGCTCTGCCGTGGGATGTCCCTGGAGAAAGGAGCCCGTTAATCCCTGCGGAAAGGCCAGCACGTGGCGCTGCCCTGCTCCCTCACCACCACCGCAGGAGCTGGGAGTCAGCGCTGGCAGCCGGCAGCGACACCGGCCGCTGTGGGACGGGAGCCAGCGCAGCCCTCGCGACCAGCACAGCAGCAGGTTGGGATCCAGCGGCAGCTCCAGGCCCTCCACGAGCTCCGGCGGGACTTGATCCCCACGGGCAGGGCAGGCGGGAGACCCCAAACCTCCATCCCGGTCCCGATGCTTCACCTGCGAGTGTACGAAGGGTCCTGGGCGGTAACGACATCGCGAACAGTGGCATCAAAATAGGATTTATTATTGAGAGCTGAGATGCGGGAGAGATAGACAGAGCAGATAACAACGCGACAWCATGCCAGGCTCCAGAGAGGAAGGAAAGGAGCGAGAAAGGAAAAAGGCAACGATACCGAAAGGCAAACAGGGAGAAAGAAATTCATATTTCTCCGGTATCAAAAACAGAGAGTGAAAACGTCAGAATGTCGTGATCTGAAACTGCCTAAGGGGGAAGCAAATGAAGTCTTTGGGCACGTAGCAGCAGAAGGCTGGAAGAGATTAGGGTCAAAACATAAAGCAAGACCAGCACGCTTTCCTGGTCCTTAGGAAAAGTGCTAAAAAAAATACCTTTCTAAAAAAAAGGTTGAGTATAACCCCATAATGAATGATTACTCATGAGATTATTGCTACAAACTACTTTGTACGTCACCTCAACCCAGGAGACAGCTGAAACCTATCTTCAGCGAATCAAGAAAAAGAAATCTCTCACTACATAATTTTAGCTTGTTGAAGGCACTTTAAAGGCTTTTAAAAATTGCTCCAATTACCGACTCGTCTGTAGAAGGATTTTAGTCTTACATTAAAATTAGAAGTGACTCGAGAACTGTATTTATCTCTGGCAGGAAAATGTGTCCAGTCTCTAAGAAAAAGAGAGAGGGGAAAAAAAAAGGAAGCGACAAGAGGGCCTTGCTCCCCACTGCAGGCTCGGTGGGTTGCTTTACGCGACGTAACCAGATTTAAAACAGCGTATTATCCCCACAAAAGAGCTGTTCTGCCTGCAAAATTCAAATGGAGTTGGAATTTATCTKCTACAGAATCTGACTGCGTGTGCCTACCTGATCTCCATGAAAGCGACTGAAATTGCAGTTAACTGCGGGAAACAAAACGTGTCTGAGGGGACGCCTCCRCCTGCCGCCCTCGGGAAGCTGCTCGCGGGAACCTGGCTCACAACAGAAGGGAACAATCTGGAACCAAATCCTTTTTCCCCCAAAATATTTTTCCTTTATTTTTGCATAACATTTTTTTTCTTTTTTTGTATTTCCAACTATAAATAAAAAAAAAAAAAAAAAGAAACTGATTAGAAAGTTACAAAATGGTGTAGAAGGAACCGGCACGGCACAGAACGTCTCACGCACGACAACTCATTTCGCGTCCCGCTCCTCGTCGTCCGCGGCGGGGCCCGGCGCTCGGCGCGGCGGCTGCGGTGGCCACGGCTCGCGCGCCGGCGGCCGCGGCTTCAGCATCTACAAAACAAGAGGGCCGCGTGAGACGGCGGGCGCGGGACGGCCCCGCGCAGGGGCTCCTGGAGGCGGCGCGCTTGGAATAGAGAACATCTGTTTGGGAAGGACTGGCAGTCGCTTATTTTCTTTTAAGCCTCCAAAGCTTTTAAAAGGTATCAAAGCTCCTGCATATCTCAGCAGAAGTTATGCTAGATCCAAAACGCCCAGGCAGCAGCCCCAGGCRCCCGGAGCACGAAGCTGCCACCCTTGCCCTCGGTGCTGATGGAACCAAGCTGGGGAGATTCTCTCTTTCCCAAGGCAGAAACTTTTCCTTCTGCTTTATGTGACAACCTGTTAATGTGCGACTACAGCAACGTGCTAAATATATGCTGCGAATCCACAGAGGGGCACCGTATCAGGAGAAATTAGTCCAAGTTTCTCTTGGTCACCAAACAGAAAAAAAAAAAAAACCCAAAAATTTGCCACAAGAACTTCACTGTCACAGCAGAGATTTAATCTATCTACTAGGTCTTTATCTGTGCATGGTGTTTGCGTGCTTATCAAGGGAAATCCTAAGCTTAAGGAGGCTTTGCGTGTCAGAGCAAATACGCAAATAATTACGCAGCCTCTAAACTTCTTGCAGGAAAGTTATTTCAAGGAAAAAGATTTACAGTCAAACCAAGACCTAAGCATATTTAGCAACCTTGATAGTGCACTTCAAATATTACTCTGCAGAAAAGCAGAAGGAACCACATATTGCACAGAAATTACTGTCTCCCTGTAGGAGCCCATCTTCCCCGTGAATCAGCTACAAGTAACCTATTTATCAACACAGCCCAAATCAGCTTTGCAGCACATGCAAATCCTTGCGAGCGAGGCTTCTGTGCAATGCAAAACCTGCACCCTGACAGCTCCCCAATCRCCCCTGCGCCAGGAGGGCTCCGGAGCTCCCTGCTGCTGCCTCCAGAGGCGACGGCATCGGCACACGCGGGTCTGAGCAGCACGTGGGGCCCGTGGATGGGGAAATGGATGAGGAAATCACGGTYCTCAGCACGCTCGTTCAGCAGGAGCGAGAGCACGAGCCTCGCGCTGCACCGCWGACACCAGCGTCCTGCTCACCAGCGAGCCACGGCCACACACGCAGCGCCGTCCGCCCCTGCCCTTTTCGGCAGCCAGCCCCACAGCAAGCGGGTCGCTCACCCGCGACACGGCGCGCCGCAGCTTCCCGCCGGCACCCGACAGCCCTACGCCGCAGGCTCGCACGCGCCAGCACTGCCAGCCTCCTGCACAAACACCCCAACAGCAGGGACGGAGCAGGGCGCKTGGGGGCCAGGAGCCGCAGCAAGCCTCACTAGGCTCTCATTCGATGAGCCTTGAACTATTTCATTTGCAACTTTTGTYTCCAGACCCACTCCTTCAAAAAGGCACATCTGAGACAACCTTAAGGGTTAGTTCATTGGCAGCAAAACAGAAAACTCTGCAGGCTTTTTTGCCCTATCAATTATTTTAGATATCAATCTTGCTCAACATGACTTGGAACGCTGCTTTATTTGCGGGGAGGAGCAATACTGAGGTCAAATCACTTCAGAAAGGAGCTACTCATTATGACTCTCCAAAGCCAGCTTGCAACAGGGCAGCAGGTTGGATGCTTTTGCACTACCCACAAGAGCACACTCACCTAGAACAATATGAGCACACTGAATTTAAGTCCACAGGACTGTTCAGGAAAAGTTTTGAATGTTTTCTGAATTGGAAATAGAGCAACGGAACCACAAAAATTATTTTAAGAAAAAAAGGTAACCATTGGAAAAGCCAAGTCAAACTGATGATTGCCTGAAACATATTAGTGATTTCCCTCCACAAATAGCAAATGTCAAAATTGGAAATTTGATTAAAAATTTTGATTTCATTGGGAAGCACTAGCATTTAGCATTAAAGAACTCTATTCCCAAACATAAGTATTTTCAAAGGAGTGAAAAGACTGCCACATTCAGCCAGATGAGTGGCCCATTTAAATTGTGATCTTGGTTTCCTTCATGCCAACTAATACCAAATATTTCAGAGGAAAATGCAAGAAGCTGTAGAGCAAACATTGAAGGAACAGGAGAAACATGAGCACTCTATAGATTGATGTAAAGTAACAGCAATAGCATTTACTCCTTCCAGCTATGGGAGTCCAGAACTAAACACACAAGGACTGTGCCCGAGGCGGCTCTTGCCGCTTTGGCCGAAGCGGAGCCAGCGTCACCGAGAGGTGCAGGAGAGCAGCGGGCGCTGGAAGCCGCTCCGCGCCCTCCGGACCCGCTCCGTGCCCTCGGCAGCCGCGCAGCCCGAGCGCCCGTGCAGCCGGAGCACAGCCGGAGCACAGCCGGAGCACCGTGGTGGCAGCACATGGGAAGCTGGAAACTGAGCGCACGTGAGCAGAGGTCATTTGGTGCTGCCAAAGGACCGCATGCATACCCTGACAGCTTAACTCACTCCTCCAATATTTGAAATACGTTTCTGTAAGCTTTCAAAGATAAGATATTGGGGACCTCCCAAATCTCTGGTCCTCTGTCCCCATGAGAACCTCAAATTTAATCGTAAGGGTCCCTCCCAGCTCCACACAGGATCTTATAGAGCCTTATTTAAATGAGCTTAATAGAAATACAGATTTTTCAGAAAAAAGAATTAACCCTTATCACAAGGRAGATACTCAATGACAAGCAGGACCTGGGGGCATTTCTCTCTCATTTTTTCTCCTTCTTTGCTCAGACTCTGCTCAACAAGCCCCATTTCTTTTATATCCCATCGTTTGTTTAATTGCTACTGAGGGTCCAAGCAGCCTTCAGCATGATCAAGGATAAAAAAACCCATAGTTTTATGTTAGCATTCAGAAGACTCACAGTGCAGATGGCTATCAAGGAATTAAGATGATGAATACTGCAATGAAAGTATCAGCCTCTGAGCCTCTGCTTGGTGCCGGCGCTAGCCGAGATGCAGCGGTCAGGAACAGAGATGCTAGAGATGCAGAAGCTCCGTTTCAGGAGGGCATTCAGGAGGGTCTTTGGGGAGCCTGTGCTGGGGTCCTGCTCGTTGCCAGCACAGCCCATGCCCAGCTGGCAGCCGCACAGCTCCGAGCAGACATGCTGCCACCTTTCAGAAAAACACTGTCTTCTTCGCATAGTTTTCAAGCACAAAATGTTTATTTTTCTTCTTTCCAATCTGTACAGTTTCTTGGGGTTCGTAGTGACACTGACTCTGTCAGTATACAGGGGATGGGCTATACAACAGGCAAGAGCGACATAAACTGTACGGTTCAGTGCAAGCTGGAGGAAAACTGGTGTGAGAACATATTTTCCATGGTTGCTCATGAAGCATACAGACATGAATCTAAAAAACCCAAACAAATTAAAGATACATGGTACAGAGAACAGAAATCTCTTACTACAGTAAGTATTTTGCCCAGGCAGAAGACTCTGCATAATTGTCTATAAAATTCAATTCTAACTGAATTGATGGAGTAGTATATTCAAAGGGTACAAACCAAATAATTTAGAYAGAGATAATGCTCAAAGTACAATATAACTATACAATTCACAGCTTGGCAGCACATGACATCTCTGCCCTTCAGCAGACAGTACCAAACGTCATTGCAGCAGAGATGCAGAGCAAGGGGCCTTCCAATCGTCCGCGTGTTTTGTTACCGGTGCCTGTAACGGGCTCCCCAAGCAGGAAACTTACCCTCCGCACACCAGGTCGGCGGTTACCTCGTGCCTGTGGCCAGGGCGGCAGGGGCAGACTCTGTGCACAGGAAAAGGGGCAAAAAGCAACTTTCAAACAGGAGAGAGGTGTCCGTGCCACCTACAGTGCAAACTTAAGCAAACTCAAAAAAAAAAAGAATTCAAACAAAAGGTGGTCAGACTCCCAAAGTGAAAGATTAATTGCTTGTATATGAAGAATAAAAAACTAACAGTTTCACATTTTTATTCCATGWCAGTGCGAATACTGCTTCGGTGGGAGGGCAGCGCTCTGGGCTGACACAGGAGCCATGCGGGGCTCTCCTGACCCAGGTCCCACAGGAACCCGCAGGYACCTTCTCCTAGCACCGAGACATCAGTTAGCTTGCTGCTTGGGAAACGTGCACGGATTTGTTATCTTAACTGAAATATCAAAGCCCAGCCAGGGAAAGAAAACACAAGCCGAGTTCGCTGTGGATGTAGAAGCAAGCAGTGCTGCCCATCAGCTAGCTCCCCGCTGCAGAAAGCGGCTGCCGCCCGCGACGGGGCGGCTCCGCGGCGGACGGAGCCCCTGGCAGGACGGACGGCGCTGCCCGAGGCTGTTATTACCTGCTCGCACCTACCGCGTGCTGCGACCTCTCGTAAACCGGCATTCTGTGCTCCCTGGACAAGCACAGGCAAACGCAGGGCATGGCCTCAGACAACCCCCGCCTCACAAGCCTAAAAGCCTCCAAAATGACAATTCAATCTATGAACTAAAWTAACAGCATTTACAGTGGAACAAAACAAGTGAAGCTCTTCAACTGTAAACCTTCAGTATCTTCGCAAACGAAAAGGAAATCTTTAACTCACGAACAGATTGTAAATAAAATACACCTCCCAGGTATTTGTACATCTCTTTCCAGCTGGAACTGAAAAGCTGAAGTTCAAGGCACTGTTCTCCTGCAGGGGGTCGTACCCTCTTCCCATCATCGATTCAAGTAGGTATCTGTAAGGAGCGCC